GTGGTGTTAATAAGTTTGAGTTCTCTATGGATTCTGGTTATTCCACCTTTGTCAGAGACCTAACCTGCAAATATTTTCTCCCACTCTGAGGGCTGTCTGCATGCCCTACTTACTGTGCTCCTGGCTGTGCAGAAGCTCTTTAGTTTAATCGGGTCTCAATAGTGTATTTTTGATGTTGGTTCGATGGCCCGGCCCGTGGGGTTCGTCTCCGGTCGCGGGTATTGCACCTGGCCGCCCTCCCTGGGCAATGCTGCCGTTGCAAGGAAATCGCGGAGAATGGGTGAAGGCCGCCCACCCGGCCGCCTCGGGTGGTCTTGTTTTGGTTAGCAAAAGAGTGAAGACTAGAGAGACCTCGAGGGCAATGGGAGAACAGCCACAACGAATGTGCAGAAAGCCACACGGAGGAACAGAGTGGACCAGATGGACCGGGAAACAGGAATGGGTAGTCAAGAATGTAACTCTTAACTCAGAAGCCCTGGTGATCACTGTCTCTAGACCCTGTCCTTTTTGGGGTAGCGGCTCTGTGCCTCCCGCATGATCTTGGAACAGGGCTCACTTTCAGAATATGGGTTGTTTGGCCTATGCCTTTCTGAGATGTTTCCCTGTTACCAGTGTTGGGGAGTCTGCAGCATTGGTTCAGACACCAGAGGCTTTCCAGGTTTCCCGCCCCCACTCTTCAATAACGGCCGCACACCACTCCCCACCTCCTTCCCGCACCCTCACCACCACAAACACCACCACTGAGACTATGTCTTGCCCCACCCTACGTGCCCAATGCCATCACAGAAGGTGCAAGCCTGGAGGGGACCTCGTTCCCCATCCAGGGCTCAATGGGTCCAGCCTCTAGGGCGGAAACCTGCTGTCAGAGTAACCTGGAGGGAAGCGGTCTCTCTCTTTGCCTGGAGCTTGAGGCCTTGGGACCTCCCTGTGGTCAGTTCTGTCCCAGCATGACTGGCTTCAGTCCATATGCTCCATTTTGGCCAATCACTATGGATGCCTTTGCCAAGGCACAGCCACCCTAAAGGACATTTTCTGCTTAATCATGCCAGCTTTGGCAATGAGTCTGTGTTTTGTTGGCCTACTGAACTTCCTGGCATCTGTCTGTGTTTGAAGGGGTTGGGGATTGTAGATGGGCAGGTCGTAGCCTGCTTGTGTCCCCTGGTGCCAAGACAGCAATTTGTGAGTCTAGGAAGAAGATGCCAAAAGTGGCTGAACGTGTAAGCAGGGATCTCAGCTGGTTGGAGCAGAGCTCTGACCCGGGAATCCTGACACTGCCGGTGGCCACCAGGGAAGGAAGGTGGGTGTCCTTTGGGTGGTGACCACAGGGCTGCAACAGGGGCAGGGAAGGGAACAGGGTTGAGGACGCCTATGTCTTCTTACAGCTGAGGTCCTGGTGAGCTCTGCAATTTGTCCAGCAGAGCCTGAAATTCTTCCTGGCCCAGAGTTGGTTCTGGTTCCTGCAGGTCCTCCTCCTGTGTGTTCAGATCCACAACTCTGGTGCCAACAGGAGCTCATCTAGCAGGCAGGAGCCTGGCACAGGTTCCCCAGGGGATTCCTCAAGGCCAGGACCAGACTCTCTGGTGGCTGGAGTCTTCTCCTGCCCCAGTGGAGACTGGCTGGGTGTGGGCTATGCAGGGGCTGCTTCCGCTTCTCTAGGTGGACAAGGGGCCTGGATCCACCATTGCCCAGGGTGGGTCACCACTTGCTCAGCACATTCCAGGCCCAGCAGCTCAGGCCACCACAGCCAGTGTGCACCTGCCAGGCCAGCATCACCCTGGCTGTATCCTTGGTCCAGAGGCCACAGAGGGCTCTGTGTGTGAGAGTGCCCCCGCCAGAGTTGGTGTTACTGCTGCTGCTGTTGCCGTCACGGTCGGAGGACTCCCCAGAGCCAGAGGAGGCTGAGCCCCTGTGGGCCCAGCCTGGGTGGGCTAGAGTGCAGGGACCCTCGATTCCTGGAGCTCTGGGTGTTGGGCTCTTCAGCTCTGAAACCAGATGTGAATTCTGGACTCTGGGAAGCCTAACTGCTGACCAGTGACATGGCTCACTAGTCCTCCTCAGTCAGCTTGTTCCAGAGGCCAAAGACCGATATGATTATGGGATCAGCTGTAGGAACCTGCTGCAGATCCTCCTCTAAGCCTGGAGGGAAAGAGGTGCCAGCTCCCTTTCAGGCAACAAGTGGGAATGACTGCCACATCCACCCTGACTGGAGTTTGCAACGTCCCTGACACCTCCTGACCTGATGTACCAACTTGTCTAATCGCCCACATCTGGGCCTGTGTCCACACCTCACAGGGGCCACCTGTTCCCACAGTGAACATCAATCCCTGATTTCTGAATCTGTCCCTAGACTGTGCTCACTGGACTCCTCCAGCAAGTCCCATGTCTCACAGTTTTTACCCTTTCACTTCTCTGAGCCAATGTGTCCAGGTCATTGCAACTCCTCCCTGCTCTGGATGCTGGAAGTGGATTGAGACACATTGGACTAGGAAACAGGGTCTAGCAGCCTTGGCCCTGTGGAAACTTGGGCTGGAACTCTCCTGTCGGGGTCTCCCCAGCTGTGGAGACCTTGCAGCCCCTCCCTTGCCTCTCCCCACCAGCTGACATTAACACCCCACTCCCCAAACTTGAAAAGCACCTTGCTAATGTCCCCCCATACCATGCCAAGGGGTTCTTGGGGGGCAAAACCAGCCCTTCTGGGAAGCAGGCCTTGAATGAAGGTTTGGACCATTTTCAGAAGATGGGTCATTTGGCCAACTTTCTGCAATGTTTCTGTTTCACCCAGAGCTGGGGAGTCTGCAGCATCAGTTCATCCACCAGAGGCTCCCCAAGTTGCCCATCCCCCAACACAAACCATGCCCCATCCCCGCACCACCACCACCACCACCACTAAGACTATGTCTGTCCCTTCCCTAAGTGCTCAAACCACCACAGAAGCTGAAAGCATGGAGGTGGCCTCATTTGCCTTGAGGGCTCAGAGGTGTCCAGTGCACATCCAT